TTACTAATTTTATCTGACCTCCTACCTTACGGCTTGACCATTCAAACACACCAATGGACTTATAAAGATATCTTATGTTGTCTATGACACAAATAGAACCATGAAGCGAATCTCTAATTGATCCTACCATTTCGTGTGTCCCTTCCTTTAGCTTACAAACCCAACCCATCTCATCAGTAAATTTTACGTAGATCTTCCCTTCCATGTTTCTAAGATTGAATTCCCGTTTTTCGGACCGCGCGGGATTCCAAGTTTGAGTCTTTGTGTTGAATACTTCAATACAGTTCAAATATTCTGGATTTTCGCAGCTTCCTGATAAGTACATATTCCCACCTAATCCGCTCATCTTATGAGTAAGCCTCATGCGTGGAGCTTCGAGCCAAGTGAGAGTTCGACAATCAAGGAAGGGAACGTTAGAGCAAGGAGCATCTTCGAAGTCTCTGCAAATCGCATAGATATAATGATCAACTGCAACGAAACTTGAGCATTCCCTAGGAGGAGAGTTGAGAATCGGAATCGGTGCTAATAGGGTTTTATCAAGTTTCCGGGATAGAGTAAACCAGCTAGGGTTAGGGCTAGAGTCAGGAGGGAACCGTAAACACACATAGAGACAACTCTCGGTGCAGCCTAAGAGAGACCGGGTCTTGTAAAGCTCCCGTGAAACAAGGAGAGATCGAAAGCTCTTTGAGACTAAGGAGAGAGTTGGATAGTGCAATCTCGAGACACGGGATAAGCAGCTTACGACCAAATCATCAGGAAGTGAAGGATTCGAGGTAGGTTCTTTTGCCGGCTTCTTCGACGGTTGCTCTCCATCGATCATGGCTTTAAAAGACATTAGCAACAAAATTCGCCACAAGCTTCTGACTGCGTGAGGAGAAAGACACTAAAAAATTAGGGTTTTGTATGAATTTAAAGTTTAAAGTTCTTAGTCACCGTGGGCTCTACGCATTAAGTCATAGTCATGTTACTTAACGGCCCATTGTGTTATTTTTTTTATTTGATAACCATTCCGCCAATGAGTATTTACTTCATGGATGATATATTTGCGGGATAATTAGTTTAATCTCTCTTTATTGGAAGATTGAGTTTGATCACTCATGAACAATTTAATTTTACTTACAATATGTTCGATTGAGAAGAAAACAAAAACTGGTTTTGACAAAGTCTACTAGAATAATTTCAAATTCGAATGAAACAGAGGAGATCCTCAAATTGCTTCACTAATAATACATGAACATTATAAGCTTACCTTAAAACAAGCACTAACTGTGTAAAGAGAACCGTACTCTTCTATGCAACACAAACAGAGAGTCATCATAGACAAAGTAAGCTAAACGGACCGGTCTACACGCAAATCTACTTAGAAATGAAACAATATCCGAGACAAACATTCACCATAGTCGCATACAAAAATATACAGTTTGCAAAACATTCAAAATGAAACCGACATTACCCGCTCGTCTCATAATTTATCAAACAATAGCAGAAAAGGTTTGACATCAAAGAGACAGCCGCAAAATATGCTTAATCATCTACAAGTGCAGATGATTATAAGCAAAACCTATGATTCCGATAAGAAAATTCTTTGACATACTCAAAACAAACAAAGCCATATACCTTGCATATAATCAGACGGTAGCAGTAACAGCACACACAAATTTGTAAGACTTAGGGACTGTAAGAACTGCATCAAACGACTCAGCCTTTCCCCAAATCTCTTCTCTGTTACGCTTTTCAAGCGAAATCTTTGCACACCAAATCATCTTCTCATTATACCCACTTGCAGGCACATACTCGTCCCAAAAAACCGCAATCTTACCACCATAATCCGCCAATTTAACACTACTATAACCGGGAAACTTAGGTAAACCTTCTAAACCCTCTAATATACTCCAATCTTCTCCTACTGCTAACTTATTATCAGACCATTCAAAATCCCCATTGGATATATTATAACGATAGGTTATGTTGTCAATGATACAAGCAGAAAGTGAATCGAATTCCGTACCTAACAGTTCCCATTTCCATTCCTTTGGATTCAAAGCCAAAACCTTCTTACTAAAAACTCCTTCCATATTCACCTTCCCTTCCATATTTCTACGATTAAACGTCCGTTTTTCGGGCGGAACAGGCTTCCAAGTTTGAGTCTTTGTATCGAAAACTTCAACACAATTCAACGAGTTTGGATTTTCAGAGCTTGCTGGTAAATACACAGACCTATCAAAGCCGGTACCTGTGTGAGCAAGCCGCAAAGTTGGAGCTTTGAGCCAAGCGTTGGTTCTACAATCCAGAAATGAGACATTAGAGCATGGAGCAGCTTCGCTTGAACCGCAAATGACGTAGAGATTATGGCCAATTGCGATGAGGCTTAACCAATCCGCTTGAGGAGAGTTGTGATTTGAAATCGGAACCAAAAGATGACAACTTGACGC